GTGTGCGAGAACCAGTGTGTGTGTGTGTGTGTGTGTGTGTGTGTGTGCGTGCGAGAACCAGGGTGTGTGTGTGTGTGTGTGTGTGTGTGCGAGAACCGGGGGGTGATTTTGAACAATCTCTCGCCCCAGCCCAGCGGGCGGGGGGGCGTCTGGGCCCAGACGTGTTCGGCTCAGATCAGCTCCATTTCGCCAGCGAGCCGAGGATTTCTGTAAACATGGGCACGTGTCACACGCACGCCACCACCCCCCCACACACACACCAACACCCCCCCACACACACACCAACACTCACAGACACACACACACACTCCAAGGCCAGAAGGTACCTTGTGACCATCCAGCCTGACTTGCTGCCATAGGCCAGAGAAAACCCCCACTCCGCTCCCAGAGCCGGGAGAGAACCCAGGCGTCCTGGCTCCCCAACACCCCCCCCAGCCCCCACTCTGCTCCCAGAGCCGGGAGAGAACCCAGGCGTCCTGACTCCCCAACACACACACCCCCCACTAGCCCCCACTCCGCTCCCAGAGCCGGGAGAGAACCCAGGTGTCCCGGCACCCCAACACCCCCTCCACTAGACCCCACTCCGCTCCCAGAGCCGGGAAAGAACCCAGGCATCCTGGCTCCCCAACACTCCCCCACACACTCTCCCCCATTCCACTCCCAGAGCTGGGAAAGAACCCAGGCGTCCTGGCTCCCAGCCCCCTCATTCAAACCACTCGTATTCTGCTGCTGTAACAGGGGGTCCATCGCCCCAGGATTCTGCACCCCATAAAGGTCCATGGGGTGCCCCAGCTGGGCCAGAGCCATGTTCGGTGGGGGGATCCTCCTTCCACTGCGCCCCGGGGGGGGGGAGCAGGGCTAGAGAGCCCCGGCCCTTTGGCTCCGCAGCCCAGCGGCAGTAGAGCTTTTATCCTCCCCTGGCATTGGCCACAAGGGGGTGACATGATGCAGGGTCACCCACCCCCCCATAACCCTATATCCTGCTTCCCCCTAGGAGCTCCCCTCCCCCAACCCCCTGTGGCTAGGGAGCCCCCAGGGTAACCCCCAGCCCCTCCCCAGGCAGCCCCCCTAACTGTTAACCCCACTGGGACCCATTTCCTGCCAATGCTCTAACCACAACACCCCCCTCAGAGCCCCCCCAAGGGAACAACCCAACCAAACCCCCGTCCCCAGGGGGACCCCCCCAGTACCCCCTGCTGTTTATGCCCCAGATACTCCCCCCACTCTACCCCACCTCCCCTAAGAGCCCCCCCCCCGATAACCCCACAGCCCCTCCCCGTGGGGACCCCTAGCACCCCCTGCTGTTTATCCCTCCCCGGACCCCTGACATGCCACTGCTCTACCCCACCTCCCCTAAGAGCCCCCCCGGTAACCCCCAGCCCCTCCCCGTGGAGACCCCCAGCACCCCCTGCTGTTTCTCCCCAGCTACACCCCCCCCCCCGCTCTAACCCACCTCCCCGAAGAGCCCCCGCCCCATCTCCTGGGCTCCGC